AGGTGAGAGCTCTACATCTGGATCAACAGGTGGGAGAGAGAGAGAGAGAGAGAGAGAGAGAGAGAGAGAGAGAGAGAGAGAGAGAGAGAGAGAGAGAGAGAGAAGAGAAGAGGAGAAAAGAGGAGAAAAGAGGAGAGGGAGAGAGAGAGAAGAGGAGAGGAGAGGGAGAGAGATGGAGAGAGGGAGAGAGGTGAGAGAGAGGAGAGAGCAAGAGGAGAGAGAGAGGGAGAGAGAAAGGAGGGAGGAGAGAGGAGAAGAGAGGAGAGACAGGGAGAGAGGGAAGAGGGAGGAGAGGGGAGAGGGAGAGAGGAGAGAGAAAGGGAGAGAGAAGAGAGAAGAAGAGAGAGAGGAGAGAGGAGAGAGGAGAACAGTGAGGCAGACTGGGCCTGGGTTGAGACTCTGAGACCTCAAAGCCCACCCCCTGTGACACACTTTCTCCAACAAGGCCATGCCTACTCCAACAGGATGACACCTCCAATAATGCTGCTCCCTATGAGTATATGGGAGTCATTTTCATCCTGAACAACACACAGCTTAGTAAGAGCTTGTCTCTCTGCCCCATCCTGAATGACATATTGTGGGAACTTGGCATGTTTCTCATGCACAGTGACATGTATTAATCGTGGTAGTCCTCTAGAGGTTCTAAAGGACAGAATCAATAGAATAAATACCATGGGAAGCCTGGGGAAGTTGGCTCTAATGTTGGCGTACGAATGATGCTTCAGCAACAGATGAATTTACCAGCAGAGGGAAGGCAAGCAGGCAAAAAGGCAAGTTCCCCCCCCCCATCTCTTTTTATCTGGGCTGCTATTGGGAGGTATGGCCAGCATTTAGGATAGGTCTTTCCTCTTCAGATCATGGAAGCAAGGGAATCTCTCCCAGCAGTGCCAAGAACCTTGTCTTTTAGTTGATTCTAGACCCCGTCAAATTGACAAGCAAGATTAGCCATCACAGGCAGAAAACAGGGTTGGTACCCAGAGATGCAGGGGGATGGAGGTCACAACAGAAGATGTTGGAGTAGGTGTCAAAGCAGGAAGGAGCAAAGAGTCTGGGGAAGTAGTTTAGGTGACCCTGGCAGAGCCGCTTTGTCTCCACACAGTATGTAGAGCGGTCTTGGAGGGTCTGATGAGGGGCTCTCCGTGGGTCTTAGGGTTTTGAAATTGAAGAGGGGACCGTATGGGGGGCGGGTTACTGGTTAGGTCAAATTCACAGAAGAGAATGAGGAACGTCCCCGTGTCTGTCCTTGTGCAGGAGGAGAGCTTACACTGGGTGTAGAAGCCTAAAGCCAGTGAAGTGAAGTCTGCCTGGGGAGTCCTTGGGTCCTTTTGTTGTCTTTTACGACAGCCCGGACTCATGGCATTGAACCAGTCGGTCTCTGCGCCCATCTGGTTAAGATGCCACACTTTCATCCTTCTTGGGAGCTTCAGAGGCAGAGGCAGATTTCCATGGGTGACATGAAGACCTTTGCTGGGAGAATCAGTTCCTGGGCAAGTGACTGCGGGCAGCGGCTGGTAGAGGGGAACCACTGCTTCCTGCATAGCTTCTTCTCTCTTCCTCTCTTCCTGCTGCCCTAATGCCTGGTGCTGTCACTCCGTGTGCTATTTTGGAGATGGGTGACACAGCATAATTAAGTAAATTTTAGGAATCCATTCAACATCTTATATGTCGTCTGTGACTGTTACGACAGGTGGTGGGTGGACTCCAGCCATGAAGATGTCACAGCGTGTGTAAGATTAAAAAAGCCACAGGCGATTAGTTAATTCGGTCAGCTCTGGAGAACACTTTGTCACATTGAGTTTGTTGGCCTCCGAGACCAGCCTCACTTTTCTCTTCTAGTCATTGAATTGATTGTGGTCCTACTTGGTGTGTGCCCTGCAACCGCCACTTACCGCCCGGACGGAAAGGAACAAACTGCCTTCTTATTCAAGATTCAGTTTCTTTCCATTTTTAATGTGTGTGTGTGTGTGTGTGTGTGTGTGTGTGTGTGTGTGTGTGTGTAGGAGTGTACCAGTTTGCTTCCTGTTGCTGTGATAAAACACTGACCGAAAGCAACTTGGAGAGGAAAAGGGTTTATTTTAATTTTACAACTTTGTTTTATCTTAGCTTACAGCCCGTCACAGAGGGAAATCAGGGCAGGAACTCAAGGCAGGAACGTGGAGGCGGGAAGTCAGACAGTGGAGGAGGAGCATCGCTTCCTGGCTTGTTCCAAGGCTCACATTCAGCTACCTTCTTCTTTACCCCGGGACAGGGTTTCTCTGTATTGTTTTGGAGGCTGTCCTGGAACTCACTCTGTAGACCAGGCTGACCTCAACCTCACAGAGACCCGCCTGCCTCTGCCTCCCAAGTGCTGGGATTAAAGGCTTGCGCCACCAACGCCCGGCTCTCAGCTACCTTCCTTAGACAGCCCAGAACTACCTGCCCAGGGGTGGCACTGACCAGGCCTTCCCACAGTAATCAAGAAGGTTCCATACAGACATATGCCTACAGGCCATTGGCATGGTGACTGTTCCTCAGCTGAGGGTCCCTCTTCCAGGTGTGTGAAATTTGACAACCAAGGTTGGCCATCAAAGGCAGTATGCATCTACATGTGTGTGCACTGTGGAGGCCAGAGATCAACTCTGGTGTTACTCAGGGGCCATCCACTTTGTTTATTGAGATGGGGTCTCTCATGGAACCTGGAGCTGGCCAATTTGTCCAGGCAGGCTGGTCAGCAACCCCCAGGGACCTATCTGTCTTCACCTTCCCAGAGCTAGGGTTTTAAGCATGGGCTGACACGTTGACCTTTTAAAACACAGATTCTGGAGGGTTGCACTTAGGTCCTAATATTGACATAGGAAACAATTTCTGACTGGGCCTACAACCTCAGCCTGAGATTCAATTTCTTGTTCCACAAATAACAACAGAAAATATCTGCCTCCTGGGGTTGTGATGTCAAGACAGGATATCAAATGTATATCTTGGTGGCTAGAAACGGCTGTCGATCAATAGATATTAGCTTCCCTCTTCATTTTTAGAGACAAGGACACTGAGGAGACAGGTCTGACATTGACATACTGGCACCTTCAGACATTGTAAACGCTGTCACGTGTCATGAGGGGCAGGCCCACCATTTTTGATGTCCGAGAGCAGGGTAAGAGGGAAGACACAAATATGGCGGGGTGGGGGGGCACCTGTCAGTTCAGCATAAGGAAGATCTCTGTAACAGTCAGCCATGTTCTAATGCAGTTCAGCCTGTGTAGCTATGAGCAGTTTGTGTTGGGAGCTTTAAATTAGAACAGCATTTCTCAGCAGCCTTAGGACTCACATCTGGAGCTAGATGCCTCTTGGTTGCCAGGGGCTGTGATGTGTATCGGAGGATGTTTATCATGTAGATATAGCCCCCTGTCGCACTCTCAGTGTGACAACTCAAAGTGACTCTTGTTTAGCGTTGTCCCATGGAGTGCAAAAATCCCCCTTTCATGTTAACTCCTGTGTCAGAGGCTAGATAGCAGCAAACTAGACTCTGTCCTTTCAGATCAACTCTATCCTGTCCCAAACTGGGTTTATTTGTGTTTTTATTAGCATGCATTAATTATATTTGTCTTAGTTAGGGTTTACTATCCCTGTGAAGAGACACTATGACCATGGCAACTCTTTTAAAGAAACCATTTAATTGGGATAGATTGCTTTCAGTTTCAGAGGTCATCATGGCAGGGACCATGGTGGCACACAGGTAGGCGTGGTGCTGGAGAAATAGCCGAGTGTCCTACATTTTGCAGGCAACAGGAAGTCGACTGGCACATCGGGCAGTATCCTGAATATATGAAACCTCAAAGCCTGCCCCCACAGTGACACACTTCCTCCAGGAAGGCCATACCCACTCTGACAAAGCCACACCTCCTAACAGGGACACTCCTCATGAGATTATGGGATTATGGGGTGATGGGGTGGTGGGGGCCAATTACATTCAAACCACCACAATATTATTCACAACAATGGGTTTCAGGATGACATGCTCATACAAGTATGTTACGTATTTTAGTCATATCCATTCCCTTACCCTCTGTGGCCCTTCCCATTCCCACCGATCCCTTTCCTCTCCTCAGCTAGCCCCACTCTGTTCTCATGCCTTTGCTGCTGTTGACCCAATGGGTTTGTGCTTAGAGGAGCACAAGTGAGGGGTCATTCACAAAAGCATGGGCCGCTTGCCAGTGGCTTCACCTTTGTCAAGTTAGGTTCATAAAACATGAATTCCCGGAGGAACTTTTGCTAGTCTTAGGGGTCACCTTTTGCTTAAGATAGCACCTACCACCTAACAAGTATGAAATTGTATGGCTTGTTTTATGACATAGAGAATAACGAGGCCTCCCCCTCAGAAGGCCTTATTCGTTGGCTTCCCCTACCCCCAAGGTCATATAGATTGCTCCCCCCCAAGGCTTTATGGTTTGGTTTCCTGTTCCTTAGCAGCATTATGGTTAGATTTTCCTCCTTGGGAGGCCTTATGGGTTGGTTAACGAGAATTCCCCTCATAGGGTCCCCACGTTATAGGGTCCCTCACCCCAAAAAGCCTTATGGGTTGGTGTACTAGATGGTTTTGTATTTATACTCAACACAAACAAGAGTCATCAGAGAGGAAGAGGCCTTGGTTGAGGAAATGCCACCATGAGATCCAGCTATAAGGCATTTTCTCAGCCATCAACGGGATAAGGTTCAGCCCATGTATGCGGTGCCAATCCCTGGGCTGGTGGTCCTGGGTTCTATAGGAAAGCAGGCTGAGCAAGCCATGAGGAGCAGGTCAGTAAGCAGCGCCTCTCCATGGTCTCTGCATCAGCTCCTGCCTCCAGTTCCTGCCTTGTTCGACTTCCTGTCCTGACTTCCTTCAGTGATGGACAGTGATGTGGAAGTGTGAGCCACATACCCCCCCCCCAACTTGCCTTTTGCTCAAGGTGTTTAGTCGCAGCAATAGAACCCCTCATTGAGACAGTTGGTTAATGACGTGTTGCTCCCTGTGGTTTCTGCAGGTCATGTTGGCGGCTTCCTATTGGTCTCTGCTGGCACCAGCGGTTGAGATGGCCACATCCTCAGGGGGCTTCGGTGCCTTCGCCTTCTTCCCAGTGGCTGTTGGCTTCACCCTGGGAGCTGCTTTTGTCTACCTGGCTGACCTCCTGATGCCCCACTTGGTGAGTATCACTTTCTGTTGGGCCGCCGCATCGGGAGCCATCTGGCTCTTCTGCTTTGCCTTGGTGGATCCGTTCATACCTCAGGTTGCTGGTGGACTCTTAACAGACGAGACATCAGAGGAAGTGAATGGAGATTCCTTCTGCAAAGAAAGCGCTTGCTTGTTAGCATGACTAACTGCTCCCTAGTCACGTCTTGCTAAGATCAGGCTTTGAATGTCAGATGTGTGAGTTGGAGCTGATGTGGTGTGTTACGTGTGGGTATACATGAACAACTGGAACCTTGTCGGGGAGGGAGGGGTTCTGATACTGGTTTGGGCCTCAAGAGCTGATGGAGTCGTCAGGGAGATGACAGCACACTTAAGGACACTATTTCATCACATCTACACAGGTTAACAGGAAGTGGCAGGAGCAGGGGAGTCTGGGAGGCTGGGGTTCACTCCTGACGTCTGTGGGGCCATGTGTCTTTCCGCTCCCGGTTTTCTCCCTGCCATGTAGGGTGACAACAGCCGTCGCCACGGCGGAGAACTAGAGCTAGTGAGCTTCGGTATGGAGGTCAGTCAGGTGACTTGGGCTTGGTTTGAGCGTCGATGTCTGGCATGCACTACTTGGCCAAGCAGAGAGCCAAGGCCAGGCTGTGTGATGGCAGCTGGAAGAAGCCTTTGGCTAAACTTTGCTACCACCGTGCGTGTTATTGGCAGGGGGGAGAAGGGCCGATGCCAGTCGCAGGGTGGGATGCGTGTGACTTAGCCACATAATACACCGTAGGTCTTAGGGGTGGGCAGGATTACCTCCAAGTTGGTGCCTGGATTCCCTGATCACCCGGAAAGGAGATGGGATCGTTCCTTCTGTTAGATCATGGAGTGATAGAGCCAGGGGATGTATGTATGCTCCAGGATGGTGGTGAAGCTTCCGTGTGCTTACTCCTCCCCACTGCTCTTCCCTGCTTCCATTCCTCCCTCCCCCTTTTCTCTCTCTCTACCTTCCTCTCTCCTCCCTCTTTCTCTCCTTTGCTCCCTCCTTTCCTATCCCCCCTCCCTTTTTTTTGGGACAGCATCTCCATTAGCCCAGGCTAGCCTCGAACTTACAATCTTCCCGCTTCACCTCCCAGATGCTGGGGTTTCAGGCCTGGGCGGCCATGCCTGGCCCTTCCTCCCTCCTGTCTCACTTTAAATTACCAACTAGAGAAAAGGGAGAATGACCTCCCTGAACCTGGACTGCTGGGCCCTGGGGTTATTGCAAGGTTTATCACTTGCAAGGCAGACACACTCGGGCACAGTCCCCGAACCAGTTGGATGTGATGGCTGCATGGACGGCTGTGATAATATCCCAAGGAAACGCCATCTGTCTGCTGTTTTCTTTCCCTGGGAGCTTGAATGACAGTGCCTGTTTCTGCCCCCTGGACGTTTGTTGGCTTCCTTGCCGCCGTCAGATGTAACTGCTGGTGGCTTTTCGAGGCCATCATGGGGAGCTGCATATTTTGCTCTTAAACCCATCTAGCTACATGTAAACCTCTTATTGGAAGATTCCCTACTCATCCCGGCAGGAAGGTCATGAATACAGGGGCCTGAACTCCCAGGCAGAGGGGTTGAAGTGGCTCAGTTACTCCAAACAGTCTACACTTGCCCTCCTGTCCCGTGTGTACCCCCCATCCCCGCCCCCATCCCCTACCCCCCTTGCCATTCTGCTGGCTCACCAGGGCCACCCAGACTTCTAAGCCAGTCTCCCACTAAGGGCCCTTCCTGTCATGATTGGTCTTCATTCCTGGGCCCTAGGGAGACTTCAGGCTTCGTACCAGGTGTATTTGACCAGCTGCCTGGGCAGAGGGAATTTCACTGGGCAGTGTAAACAGTCACTGGCCAGTTTGTGCTGAGCTACATGCTTTTGTGTTGGTGTTGTCAGCCTTTGCCTCGTGAGTGCGTTAGATAAGGGGATGCTCCCAGGGGTGAGCTCTGGATAGATAATCTAGAAAATCAGCGACGGCAATGGAGTGGAAGCTAAATGTTGTGGGGTGGGGTTGAGGAAGGGCTGAGAAAGAGACACCCAACCCCCCGGGACCCAGACCTCGCTCGCTGGCAGGAGACTCAGTAAACATCTGTTCTGGGACATGGGAGAAGGAATTAATTGTCACTGTTAATGTGAGAAGGGGACCACGTCTCAGAAGGTCTCATAAATAGGAAGGCTTTGTTTCTAATTGCCTCAGCTCCTGAATACAAATGTCCACCGAGTCGTGCTCGCGGGTAGCCTGCTGGCCTGCGCTGTGAGGCCGGCTAAAGGTTTCCCTCTTGTGTCACTGTTAATTTGCTTCCCAGACCTGAAAAGGGCTGCAGCTTGGCCCTTCTGCAGGTGCCATGTGGAGTGTGAATTAATGGGTTTTGATACGGAGTCCCTGTGGTTCTCCGGTATCGATTTTGCACAGGCAGGGAATGTACCTTCCCAGGGCAGTAAGACTCAATTCCCTCAAAATTCACTGCTCCTGGAATTTGTGAGCCAACTACTTTTGAGGCTGGATGGGGGTGTTGGGGGGGGATACATTCAGCTTGAGACTGCTTCAGTTTCTAATTCATTGAACCTTACCACAGAGTCAGAGTGGGCAGGAGATGGCCCCGGAGGAGCAGGGGGAAGGGGGAGGCGCGAAGACCCTCGTTGCTGGCTGGTTTACTCTGTACTTTCCCTGTATGCATGTGTGTACTTAGGGATGGGGTCTTGTCGTCGGTTTTCTGAAAAACAACAACAGCAACAACAACAAAAATGGTAGCACCGCCTCTGTTGGTGCTGCCCTGCTTACCCCCAGGAGAAGTGCGCTCCCCTCCTCCCTCCCTCCTCTCTTTTGGAGTCTGACATCTTAGGGAGCCTGCATAAGAGGCCTCAGCGGGAAGTGGGAAGGGATAGCAGTTGCTCGTGGCTTTCTGTGGTTTTCTCCTGTCTGTGAAAACTTGGCCTAAGTCCCTCCTGAGCAGGCTCTGGGTGCCGGTTGGGGGGGAGGGGAGTCAGCTTCCTCCTGGATTTAACCGAGTCCCCAAGCGCTGATTGCTTCTCATTGTGATGGCCAAGAAGATGGCCTTAGAGAAAAACCCAACCGCGTGGAACCCGCCCGACACAATCATGCTGGCATCAGATTTTGGTGAGCAGAAGCTGCTTCCAGGAACCACACATGATTAACGTCCCAAAGTGACATGTCGCAAGGGGCAAGTTTTGACGACCAGAGGGGTGTTTGCATGTACCTCTTTCCTTTGTAGATTCTCTCCACCACTAACGGTCTTCATTCTAAACCGCACAGACACAGAGAGAGAAAAGCTAGCCCTTGTGTGCTCCTCACAAGTGTGTGGGATAAAGCCGGTACCATGGAGGAGCCCAGGGAAGTGAGACATGGTCCTCTCCCTCAGATGTCCCCTCTCACCTGCCTTCCGTTTCCTTGTGGCGTCCTGCCTCTCTCTGTGAGGAGCACTTTGGGCTGGTGTGTTGTTGACATTTAGACAGGCTGGTTGGATCCTCTGCAGCAGTGACCTGATATGGATGTAGGGGTGGACTTTCACAGTCCCAGGCCAGGGAAGGATACAGCTTTGCAAGCGAACCACTTGGGTTACTTGTCTGGGTACCTGCATTAGTTTGTTTCTGCTGCTGTAACAAACTTGCTTCCTTGGAGGCTGGAAGTCCAAATGTCCAGTGTCCCCAGGGCTGGTTGGTTCAGAGGTCTCTTTTCTTTGCTGTTGGATTGCCATGTTCTCTCCATGTCCTCATGCGGTCCTCCTCTGTGTAGGTGACCCTTCCTGATGTCTCCAGGTGTCCAGATTTCCTCTTACAAGTGATGACACAGGTTGGTCCAAGGCTCCTCAGGGACTGTAGTAATTCAGCCACCTTTTAAAGCGCCATCTCTAGAGAGTCACGCTGTGAGGTGTTGGGGTTAGGAGGGGCTCGATTCATCCCAAGATGCCATCTCTGGAGTTTCTGTGTATTATTTAATCAGATAATTGAATATATTATTTGTGTGTGTGTGTGTGTGCACACGCATATGCGCACACACATGCACATGTGTGAACGTGTGGATGTCAGAGGCCAGCTGTGGGTGTTGTTTCTTAGCCACTTGTCTTTTGAGGCAGGGTCTCTTGCTGGGACCCGGGGCTCGCTAATCCATGCTCCAGGGATGCAGGCACAGCAAGCACTTTACTGATGGAGCCATCTCCCCAACACCTTTGCAGCTTCCCTTGGCTCTTGTAGGGTTATGCTAGAGAGATGACTGACGTAGAGGAAGCGCGTCCCGTGGATGCCGTCATAGGCCACCGGGCAGGCACAGTGCGTTCTTTAACCAGAGCCCGCTCTGGGCATCATTTCCCGAGGCACCTGCTGCTCGGGGGGCGTTCCCGAGGGGCATGCCATGCTCGGGGAATCTGTGACTCTTATTAACACTGCACTTCTGAGTAAAGAATCAGCCTGTCACAGCGGAGGTCCTGGCTGGGGGACACGAGGAACGGCTTCCTGTTCACAGAGGGTTGGGTGGAAGAGATGGCATTGTTTTCTTTTAACCCCGTGTCTCAGAGACACACCGAGACTCTAGTCACAGCCCGTGTCCTTTGGAAATTCCCTTTTCCAAACACACAGTTGAGCAATAGGAGGGCAGGCTCCACTTTAATGTGCATGAGGGTGGGGTGTTGGGAATTTAATATGCAAACCATAAAATGATTAAACTTAATAACATAATGGCAGTGGTTGGGAAGGGTTGTGCAGGCCGGTGAGTTCTTGTTTCTTCCTGTTGAAGGGCTGAGGGCCGAGCGTGTGTGTGTCTCTCTTGCTGTGCACGTGACCCTTGCTTTGTGTGGCGAGGGAAGGTCCTGAGACAGAGTTAAGCTGGTTGCCCTCGGGTGGCTCCCACCCCCACCTCTTCAGCAACTGCTTTCCTTGCTTTTGGCCGTCCTCACACACTTTCTCCTGTATGATTTGGACAGTGCTCACTGGACCAGTATCTCCTAGACCAGGCCAGCTTTAGCCAAAGAGCCAGACTGGCT